GTAGGGCCAAGGAGAACGGAAACGCTCATTTCTCAAAAAGTAAAGGGAATCTAGCCGTCTCACTCGATCAGAAGGTGGGAAATATATAAATCTAGTGAGCTAATAAGGTTCGGAAGGAATCTAATGCATATGTATATGGAAAGTGGTGCATTGGCCAGGTCGGTCAGTATGGGAACTTAGAGTGCAAATGTCTGGGAGAACGGAACCGCTCAAATCTCGCATAGTACACGGAATCTAGTGGTCTCACTCAAATAGAAGGTAGGAAATAAATTCATCTAGTGAACGTAAGGGTTTGAAAGGTAACTAACGCACATGTGTAGAGAAAATGGTGCATCGGCCAGTCTGGCCGGCATTTCGCACTTATAGTGCAAGTAGGGCCAAGGAGAACGGAAACGCTCATTTCTCAAAAAGTAAAGGGAATCTAGCGGTCTCACTCGATCAGAATGTGGGAAATATATAAATCTAGTGATCTAATAAGGTTCGGAAGGAATCTAATGCATATGTATATGGAAAGTAGTGCATTGGCCAGGTCGGTTAGTATGGGAACTTTGTGTGCAAATGTCTGGGAGAACGGAACCGCTCAAATCTTGCATAGTACACGGAATCTAGTGGTCTCACTCAAATAGAAGGTAGGAAATAAATTCATCTAGTGAAGGTAAGGGTTTGAAAGGTAACTAACGCACATGTGTAGAGAAAATGGTGCATCGTCCAGTCTGGCCGGCATTTCGCACTTATAGTGCAAGTAGGGCCAAGGAGAACGGAAACGCTCATTTCTCAAAAAGTAAAGGGAATCTAGCGGTCTCACTTAATCAGAAGGTGGGAAATATATAAATCTAGTGATCTAATAAGGTTCGGAAGGAATCTAATGCATATGTATATGGAAAGTGGTGCATTGGCCAGGTCGGTCAGTATGGGAACTTAGAGTGCAAATGTCTGGGAGAACGGAACCGCTCAAATCTCGCATAGTACACGGAATCTAGTGGTCTCACTCAAATAGAAGGTAGGAAATAAATTCATCTAGTGAACGTAAGGGTTTGAAAGGTAACGAACGCACATGTGTAGAGAAAATGGTGCATCGGCCAGTCTGGCCGGCATTTCGCACTTATAGTGCAAGTAGGGCCAAGGAGAACGAAAACACTTATTTCTCAAAAAGTAAAGAGAATCTAGCGGTCTCACTAGATCAGAAGGTGGAAAATATATAAATCTAGGGAGCTAATAAGTTTCGAAAGGAATCTAATGCATATGCATGTGGAAAATGGTGCATTGGCCAGGTCGGTCAGTATGGAAACTTAGAGTGCAAATGCCAGGGAGAACGGAAGCGCTCAGATCTCGCATAGCATACGGAATCAAGTGGTCTCACTCAAATAGAAAGTAGGAAATATATTTATCTAGTGAACGTAAGGGTTTGAAAAGGAAACTAACGTACATGTGTAGAGAAAATGGTGCATCGGCCAGTCTGGCCGGCATTTTGCACTTATAGTGCAAGTAGGGCCAAGGAGAACGGAAACGCTCATTTCTCAAAAAGTAAAGAGAATCTAGCGGTCTCACTCGATCAGAAGGTGGGAAATATATAAATCTAGTGATCTAATAAGGTTCGGAAGGAATCTAATGCATATGTATATGGAAAGTAGTGCATTGGCCAGGTCGGTTAGTATGGGAACTTAGTGTGCAAATGTCTGGGAGAACGGAACCGCTCAAATCTTGCATAGTACACGGAATCTAGTGGTCTCACTCAAATAGAAGGTAGGAAATAAATTCATCTAGTGAAGGTAAGGGTTTGAAAGGTAACTAACGCACATGTGTAGAGAAAATGGTGCATCGTCCAGTCTGGCCGGCATTTCGCACTTATAGTGCAAGTAGGGCCAAGGAGAACGGAAACGCTCATTTCTCAAAAAGTAAAGGGAATCTAGCGGTCTCACTTAATCAGAAGGTGGGAAATATATAAATCTAGTGATCTAATAAGGTTCGGAAGGAATCTAATGCATATGTATATGGAAAGTGGTGCATTGGCCAGGTCGGTCAGTATGGGAACTTAGAGTGCAAATGTCTGGGAGAACGGAACCGCTCAAATCTCGCATAGTACACGGAATCTAGTGGTCTCACTCAAATAGAAGGTAGGAAATAAATTCATCTAGTGAACCTAAGGGTTTGAAAGGTAACGAACGCACATGTGTAGAGAAAATGGTGCATCGGCCAGTCTGGCCGGCATTTCGCACTTATAGTGCAAGTAGGGCCAAGGAGAACGAAAACACTCATTTCTCAAAAAGTAAAGAGAATCTAGCGGTCTCACTAGATCAGAAGGTGGAAAATATATAAATCTAGGGAGCTACTAAGTTTCGAAAGGAATCTAATGCATATGCATGTGGAAAATGGTGCATTGGCCAGGTCGGTCAGTATGGAAACTTAGAGTGCAAATGCCAGGGAGAACGGAAGCGCTCAGATCTCGCATAGCATACGGAATCAAGTGGTCTCACTCAAATAGAAAGTAGGAAATATATTTATCTAGTGAACGTAAGGGTTTGAAAAGGAAACTAACGTACATGTGTAGAGAAAATGGTGCATCGGCCAGTCTGGCCGGCATTTTGCACTTATAGTGCAAGTAGGGCCAAGGAGAACGGAAACGCTCAATTCTCAAAAAGTAAAGGGAATCTAGCGGTCTCACTTAATCAGAAGGTGGGAAATATATAAATCTATTGAGCTAATAAGGTTTGGAAGGAATCTAATGCATATGTATATGGAAAGTGGTGCATTGGCCAGGTCGGTCAGTATGGGGACTTGGAGTGCAAATATCTGGGAGAACGGAACCGCTCAAATCTCGCATAGTACACGGAATCTAGTGGTCTCACTCAAATAGAAGGTAGGAAATAAATTCATCTAGTGAACGTAAGGGTTTCAAAGGTAACTTACGCATATGTGTAGAGAAAATGGTGCATCGGCCAGTCTGGCCGGCATTTCGCACTTATAGTGCAAGTAGGGCCAAGGAGAACGGAAACGCTCATTTCCCAAAAAGTAGAGGGAATCTAGCGGTCTCACTCGATCAAAAGGTGGGAGATATATAAATCTAGTGAGCTAATAAGGTTCGGAAGGAATCTAATGCATATGTATATGGAAAGTGGTGCATTGGCCAGGTCGGTCAGTATGGGAACTTAGAGTGCAAATGCCTGGGAGAACGGAACCGCTCAGATCTCGCATAGTACACGGAATATAGTGGTCTCACTAAAATATAAGGTAGGAAATATATTGATCTAGTGAACGTAAGGGTTTGAAAGGTAACTAACGCACATGTGTAGAGAAAATGGTGCATCGGCTAGTCTGGCCGGCATTTCGCACTCATAGTGCAGGTGGGGCCAGAGAGAACGGAAACGCTCGTTTCTCAAAAAGTAGAGGGAATCTAATGGTCTCACTCAATCAGAAGGTGGGAAATATATAAATCTAGTCAGCTAAAAAGGTTTGAAATGTATTCAACGCACATGTATAGAGAAAATGGTGCATTGGCCAGGTCGGTCAGTATCGGAACTTAAAATGCAAATGCCAGGGAGAACGGAAGCGCTCACATCTCGCATAGTACACGGAATCAAGTGGTCTTACTCAAATGGAAAGTTGGAAATATATTCATCTAGTGAACGTAAGGGTTTGAAAGGTAACTAACGCACATGTGTAGAGAAAATTGTGCATCGGCCAGTCTGGCCGGCATTTCGCACTTATAGTGCAACTAGGGCCAAGGAAAACGGAAACGCTCATTTCTCAAAAAGTAAAGGAATCTAGCGGTATCACTCGATCAGAAGGTGGGAAATATATAAATCTAGTGAGCTAATAAGGTTCGAAAGGAATCTAATGCATATGTATATGGAAAATGGTGCATTGGCCAGGTCGGTCAGTATGGGAACTTAGAGTGCAAATGCCAGGGAGAACGGAAGCGTTCAGATCTCGCATAGTACACGGAATCTAGTGGTCTCACTCAAATACAAGGTAGGAAATAAATTCATCTAGTGAACGTAATAGTGTGAAAGGTAACTAACGCACATGTGTAGAGAAAATGGTGCATCGGCCAGTCTGGCCGGCATTTCGCACTTATAGTGCAAGTAGGGCCAAGGAGAATGGAAACGCTCATTTCTCAAAAAGTAAAGGGAATCTAGCGGTCTCTCTCGATCAAAAGGTGGGAAATATATAAATCTAGTGAGCTAATAAGGTTCGGAAGGAATCTAATGCATATGTATATGGAAAGTGGTGCATTGGCCAGGTCGGTCAGTATGGGAACTTAGAGTGCAAATGCCTGGGAGAACGGAACCGCTCAGATCTCGCATAATGCACGGAATCTAGTGGTCTCACTCAAATATAAGGTAGGAAATATATTGATCTAGTGAACGTAAGGGTTTGAAAGGTAACTAACGCACATGTGTAGAGAAAATGGTGCATCGGCCAGTCTGGCCGGCATTTCGCACTCATAGTGCAGGTGGGGCCAGAAAGAACGGAAACGCTCGTTTCTCAAAAAGTAGAGGGAATCTAATGGTCTCACTCGATCAGAAGGTGGGAAATATATAAATCTAGTCAGCTAAAAAGGTTTGAAATGTATTCAACGCACATGTATAGAGAAAATGGTGCATTGGCCACGTCGGTCAGTATCGGAACTTAAAATGCAAATGCCAGGGAGAACGAAAGCGCTCAGATCTCGCATAGTACACGGAATTAAGTGGTCTCACTCAAATAGAAAGTAGGAAATCTATTCATCTAGTGAACGTAAGGGTTTGAAAGGTAACTAACGCACATCTGTAGAGAAAATGGTGCATCGGCCAGTCTGGCCGGCATTTCGCACATATAGTGCAACTAGGGCCAAGGAGAACGGAAACACTCATTTCTCAAAAAGTAGAGGGAATCTAGCGGTCTCACTCGATCAGAAGGTGGGAAATATATAAATCTAGTGAGCTAATAAGGTTCGAAAGGAATCTAATGCATATGTATATGGAAAATGGTGCATTGGCCAGGTCGGTCAGTATGGGAACTTAGAGTGCAAATGACATGGACGTGGACGTGGACGTGGACGTGTACATGGACATGGACATGGACGTGGACATGGACGTGGACGTGGACATGGACGTGGATGTGGACATGGACGTGGACGTGTCCATGTCCATGTCCACGTCCACGTCCACGTCTATGTCCACGTCCACGTTCACGTCCGCGTCCATGTCCATGTCCATGTCCACGTCCACGTCCATGTCCACGTCCATGTCCAAGTCCATGTCCCTGTCTACGTCCACGTCCACGTCCATGTCCACGTCCACGTCCTCGTCCACGTCCAGGTCCACGTCCATGTCTACGTCCACGTCCACGTCCACGTACATGTCCACGTCCACGTCTATGTCCAAGACCACGTCCACGTCCACGACCACGTCCACGTCCACGTCCACGTCCACGTCCACGTCCACGTCCACGTCTAAGTCCATGTCCACGTCCACGTCCACGTCCACGTCCACCTCCACATCTACGACCATGTCTTCATCCACGTCCACGTCCACGTCCATGTCCACGTCCATGTCCACGTCCAAGTTCTCCACGTCCACGTCCACTTCCACGTCGACGTCCACGTACATGTCCACGTCCATGTCCACGTCCACGTCCACGTCCATGTCCACGTCCACGTCCATGTCCACGTCCACGTCCACTTTAACGTCCATCTCCACGTCCAAGTCCTCCACGTCCACGTCCACGTCCATCTCCACGTCCACGTCCACGTCCACGCCCACGTCCAGGTCCACGTCCATGTCCACGTCCATGTCCACGTCCACGTCCACGTCCACGTCCACGTCCACCTCCACGTCCACCTCCACGTCCACCTCCACGTCCACGTCCACGTCCATGTCCACGTCCACGTCCATGTCCACGTGCACGTCCACGTCCATGTCCACGTCCACGTCCATGTCCACGTCCATGTCCACGTCCATGTCCACGTCCACGTCCATGTCCACGTCCATGTTCACGTCCACGTCTTGTTCACGTCCATGTCCACGTCCACGTCCACGTCCACGTCCACGACCATGTCCACGTCCACGTCCATGTTCACGTCCACGTCCACGTCCACGTCCACGACCAGGTCCACGTCCACGTCCACGTCCACGTCCATGTCCACGTCCACGTCCACGTCCACGTCCACGTCCACCTCCACGTCCACGTCCACGTCCAAGTCCTCCACGTCCACGTCCACGTCCACGTCCACGTTCACGTCCACGTCCACGTCCACGTCCACGTCCTCCACGTCCACGTCCTCCACGTCCACGTCCACGTCCACGTCCACGTCCACGTCCAGGTCCACGGCCACGTCCACGTCCAGGTCCACGTCCACGTCCACGTCCACGTCCACGTCCAGGTCCACGTCCACGTCCCGTCCACGTCCACGTCCACGTCCACGCCACGTCCACGTCCACGTCCATGTCCACGTCCACGTCCACTCCACGTCCACGTCCACGTCCATGTCCACGTCCAAGTCCTCCACGTCCACGTTCACGTCCATGTCCACGTCCAAGTCCTCCACGTCCACGTCCACGTCCACGTCCACGTCCACGTCCTCCACGTCCACGTCCACGTCCTCCACGTCCACGTCCACGTCCATGTCCACGTCCACGTCCACGTCCACGTCCACGTCTACGTCCATGTCCACGTCCACGTCCACGTCCACGTCCACGTCCATGTCCACGTCCACGTCCACGTCGACGTCCACGTCCAGGTCCACGTCCACGTCCATGTCCACGTCCACGTCCACGTCCACGTCCACGTCCACGTCCACGTCCACGTCCACGTCCATGTCCATGTCCACGTCCATGTCCACGTCCAAGTTCTCCACGTCCACGTCCACGTCCACGTCCATGTCCACGTCTACGTCCACGTCCACGTCCACGTCCACGTCCAGGTCCACGTCCACGTTCACGTCCACGTCCACGTCCACGTCCACGTCCACTCCACGTCCACGTCCACGTTCACGTCCACGTCCACGTTCACGTCCACGTCCACGTCCACGTCCACTCCACGTCCACGTCCACGTCCCAGTCCACGTCCACGTCCACGTCCACGTCCATGTCCACGTCCATGTCCATGTCCACGTCCATGTCCACGTCCACGTCCACGTCCACGTCCACGTCCAGGTCCACGTCCACGTCCACGTCCACGTCCATGTCCACGACCAGGTCCACGTCCAGTTCCACGTCCATGTCCACGTCCACGTCCACGTCCACGTCCACGTCCAGGTCCACGTCCACGTCCACGTCCATGTCCACGACCAGGTCCACGTCCAGGTCCACGTCCACGTCCACGTTCACGTCCACGTCCACGTCCACATCCACGTCCTCCACGTCCACGTCCTCCACGTCCACGTCCACGTCCACCTCCACGTCCACGTCCATGTCCACGTCCAAGTCCTCCACGTCCACGTCCACGTCCACGTTCACGTCCACGTCCACGTCCACGTTCACGTCCTCCACGTCCACGTCCTCCACGTCCACGTCCACGTCCACGTCCACGTCCACTTTAACGTCCATCTCCACGTCCAAGTCATCCACGTCCACGTCCACGTCCATCTCCACGTCCACGTCCACGTCCACGTCCACGCCCACGTCCAGGTCCACGTCCATGTCCACGTCCATGTCCACGTCCACGTCCACGTCCACGTCCACCTCCACGTCCACCTCCACGTCCACCTCCACGTCCACGTCCACGTCCATGTCCACGTCCACGTCCATGTCCACGTGCACGTCCACGTCCATGTCCACGTCCACGTCCATGTCCACGTCCATGTCCACGTCCATGTCCACGTCCACGTCCATGTCCACGTCCATGTTCACGTCCACGTCTTGTTCACGTCCATGTCCACGTCCACGTCCACGTCCACGTCCATGTTCACGTCCACGTCCACGTCCACGTCCACGTCCACGTCCACGTCCACGTCCAGGTCCACATCCACGTCCACGTCCACGTCCACGTCCACGTCCATGTCCACGTCCACGTCCATGTCCACGTCCACGTCCACGTCCACGTCCACGTCCATGTCCACGTCCACGTCCTCCACGTCCACGTCCACGTCCACGTCCACGTTCACGTCCACGTCCACGTCCACGTCCACGTCCACCACGTCCACGGCCACGTCCACGTCCACGTCCACGTCCAGGTCCACGACCACGTCCACGTCCAGGTCCAGGTCCACGTCCACGTCCACGTCCAGTCCACGTCCAGGTCCACGTCCACGTCCCGTCCACGTCCACGCCACGTCCACGTCCACGTCCACGTCCACGCCACGTCCACGTCCACGTCCATGTCCACGTCCACGTCCACTCCACGTCCACGTCCACGTCCATGTCCACGTCCAAGTCCTCCACGTCCACGTTCACGTCCATGTCCACGTCCAAGTCCTCCACGTCCACGTCCACGTCCACGTCCACGTCCACGTCCACGTCCTCCACGTCCACGTCCACGTCCTCCACGTCCACGTCCACGTCCATGTCCACGTCCACGTCCACGTCCACGTCCACGTCTACGTCCATGTCCACGTCCACGTCCACGTCCACGTCCACGTCCATGTCCACGTCCACGTCCACGTCGACGTCCATGTCCAGGTCCACGTCCACGTCCATGTCCACGTCCACGTCCACGTCCACGTCCACGTCCACGTCCACGTCCACGTCCATGTCCATGTCCACGTCCATGTCCACGACCAAGTTCTCCACGTCCACGTCCACGTCCACGTCCACGTCCATGTCCACGTCTACGTCCACGTCCACGTCCACGTCCACGTCCACGTCCAGGTCCACGTCCACGTTCACGTCCACGTCCACGTCCACGTCCACGTCCACTCCACGTCCACGTCCACGTTCACGTCCACGTCCACGTTCACGTCCACGTCCACGTCCACGTCCACTCCACGTCCACGTCCACGTCCCAGTCCACGTCCACGTCCACGTCCACGTCCACGTCCATGTCCACGTCCATGTCCACGTCCACGTCCATGTCCACGTCCACGTCCACGTCCACGTCCACGTCCAGGTCCACGTCCACGTCCACGTCCACGTCCATGTCCACGACCAGGTCCACGTCCAGTTCCACGTCCATGTCCACGTCCACGTCCACGTCCACGTCCACGTCCAGGTCCACGTCCACGTCCACGTCCATGTCCACGACCAGGTCCACGTCCAGGTCCACGTCCACGTCCACGTCCACGTCCACGTCCACGTCCACGTCCATGTCCACGTCCATGTCCACGTCCACGTCCTCGTCCACGTCCAGGTCCACGTCCACGTCTACGTCCACGTCCACGTCCACGTCCACGACCATGTCCACGTCCACGTCCACGTCCACATCCACGACCATGTCTTCATCCACGTCCACGTCCACGTCCATGTCCACGTCCATGTCCACGTCCAAGTTCTCCACGTCCACGTCCACTTCCACGTCGACGTCCACGTACATGTCCACGTCCATGTCCACGTCCACGTCCACGTCCATGTCCACGTCCATGTCCACGTCCACGTCCACGTCCACGTCAACGTCCATCTCCACGTCCAAGTCCTCCACGTCCACGTCCACGTCCATCTCCACGTCCACGTCCACGTCCACGCCCACGTCCACGTCCACGTCCACGTCCATGTCCACGTCCATGTCCACGTCCATGTCCACGTCCATGTCCACGTCCATGTCCATGTCCACGTCCATGTCCACGTCCATGTCCACGTCCATGTCTACGTCCACGTCCATGTCCACGTCCACGTCCACGTCCATGTCCACGTCCACGTCCATGTCCACGTCCACGTCCATGTCCACGTCCATGTTCACGTCCACGTCTTGTTCACGTCCACGTCCATGTCCACGTCCACGTCTTGTTCACGTCCACGTCCACGTCCACGTCCACGTCCACGTCCACGTCCACGTCTATGTCCATGTCCACGTCCATGTCCACGTCCACGTCCACGTCCATGTCCATGTCCACGTCCACGTCGACGTCCACGTCCATGTCCACGTCCACGTCCATGTCCACGTCCACATCCATGTCCACCTCCACGTCCACGTCCACGTCCACGTCCACGTCCACGTCCATGTCCACCTCCACGTCCACGTCCATGTCCACCTCCAAGTCCTCCACGTCCACGTCCATGTCCACGTCCAAGTTCTCCACGTCCACGTCCACGTCCACGTCCACGTCCTTCACGTCCACGTCCACGTCCACGTCCATGGTCGAGGTCCACGGCCACGTCCACGTCCACGTCCATCTCCACGTCCACGTCCACATCCACGTCCACGTCCATGTCCACGTCCACGTCCATGTCTACCTCCACGTCCACGTCCATGTCCACGTCCAAGTCCTCCACGTCCACGTCCACGTCCACGTCCACGTTCACATCCACGTCCACGTCCACGTCCTCCACGTCCACGTCCACGTCCACGTCCACGTCCACGTCCAGGTCCACGGCCACGTCCACGTCCACGTCCACGTCCACGTCCACGTCCAGGTCCACGTCCACGTCCCGTCCACGTCCACGTCCACGCCCACGTCCACGTCCACGTCCACGTCACGTCCACGTCCACGTCCACGTCCACGTCCACTCCACGTCCACGTCCATGTCCACGTCCAAGTCCTCCACGTCCACGTTCACGTCCATGTCCACGTCCAAGTTCTCCACGTCCACGTCCACGTCCACATCTTCGTCCTCCACGTCCACGTCCACGTCCTCCACGTCCACGTCCACGTCCATGTCCACGTCAACGTCCACGTCCACGTCTACGTCCATGTCCACGTCCACGTCCACGTCCATGTCCACGTCCACGTCCATGTCCACGTCCACGTCCACGTCCACGTCCACGTCCAGGTCCACGTCCACGTCCACGTCCACGTCCATGTCCACGTCCACGTCCACGTCCACGTCCACGTCCATGTCCACGTCCACGTCCATGTCCACGTCCAAGTTCTCCACGTCCACGTCCACGTCCACGTCCACGTCCACGTCCATGTCCACGTCCACGTCCACGTCCACGTCCACGTCCACGTCCACGTCCAGGTCCACGTCCACGTTCACGTCCATGTCCACGTCCACGTCCACGTCCACGTCCACTCTACGTCCATGTCCATGTTCACGTCCACGTCCACGTCCACGTCCATGTCCACGTCCACGTCCACGTCCACGTCCACGTCCATGTCCACGTCCATGTCCACGTTCACGTCCACGTCCACGTCCACGTCCATGTCCACGTCCACGTCCACTCCACGTCCACGTCCATGTCCACGTCCAAGTCCTCCACGTCCACGTTTACGTCCATGTCCACGTCCAAGTTCTCCACGTCCACGTCCACGTCGACGTCCACGTCCTCCACGTCCACGTCCACGTCCTCCACGTCCACGTCCACGTCCACGTCCATGTCCACGTCCACGTCCACGTCCACGTCTACGTCCATGTCCACGTCCACGTCCACGTCCATGTCCACGTCCACGTCCATGTCCACGTCCACGTCCACGTCCACGTCCACGTCCACGTCCATGTCCACGTCCACGTCCATGTCCACGTCCACGTCCATGTCCACGTCCACGTCCACGTCCATGTCCACGTCCAAGTCCATGTCCACGTCCAAGTTCTCCACGTCCACGTCCACGTCCACGTCCACGTCCAGTCCACGTCCACGTCCACGTCCACGTCCACGTCCACGTCCACGTCCAGGTCCACGTCCACGTTCACGTCCACGTCCACGTCCACGTCCACGTCCACGTCCACTCCACGTCCATGTCCACGTTCACGTCCACGTCCACATCCACGTCCACGTCCACTCCACGTCCACGTCCACGTCCCAGTCCACGTCCACGTCCACGTCCACGTCCACGTCCACGTCCATGTCCACGTCCATGTCCACGTCCATGTCCACGTCCACGTCCACGTCCAGGTCCAGGTCCACGTCCACGTCCACGTCCATGTCCACGACCTGGTCCACGTCCAGGTCCACGTCCACGTCCACGTCCACATCCATGTCCACGTCCACGTCCACGTCCACGTCCATGTCCACGTCCATGTCCACGTCGACGTCCATGTCCAAGACCACGTCCACGTCCACGACCACGTCCACGTCCACGTCCACGTCCACGTCCACGTCTAAGTCCTTGTCCATGTCCACGTCCACGTCCACGTCCACGTCCACGACCATGTCTTCGTCCACGTCCACGTCCACGTCGATGTCCACGTCCATGTCCACGTCCAAGTTCTCCACGTCCACGTCCACTTCCACGTCGACGTCCACGTACATGTCCACGTCCATGTCCACGTCCACGTCCACGTCCATGTCCACGTCTACGTCCATGTCCACGTCTACGTCCACGTCCACGTCAACGTCCATCTCCACGTCCAAGTCCTCCACGTCCACGTCCACGTCCATCTCCACGTCCACGTCCACGTCCACGTCCACGCCCACGTCCACGTCCACGTCCATGTCCACGTCCATGTCCACGTCCATGTCCACGTCCATGTCCACGTCCATGTCCATGTCCACGTCCATGTCCACGTCCATGTCCACGTCCATGTCTACGTCCACGTCCATGTCCACGTCAACGTCCACGTCCATGTCCACGTCCATGTCCACGTCCATGTTCACGTCCACGTCTTGTTCACGTCCACGTCCATGTCTATGTCCACGTCCACGTCCACGTCCACGTCCACGACGATGTCCACGTCCACGTCCATGTCCACGTCCACGTCCACGTCCACGTCTATGTCCATGTCCACGTCCACGTCCACGTCCACGTCCATGTCCATGTCCACGTCCACGTCCACGTCCACGTCCATGTCCACGTCCACGTCCATGTCCACGTCCACGTCCATGTCCACCTCCACGTCCACGTCCATGTCCAAGTCCAAGTCCTCCACGTCCACGTCCACGTCCATGTTCACGTCCATGTCCACGTCCAAGTTCTCCACGTCCACGTCCTTGTCCACGTCCACGTCCTCCACGTCAACGTCCACGTCCACGTCCATGGTCGAGGTCCACGGGGTCCACGGCCACGTCCTCGTCCACGTCCATCTCCACGTCCACGCCCACATCCACGTCCACGTCCACGTCCACGTCCACGTCCACGTCCATGTCCAGGTCCACGTCCACGTCCACGTCCACTCCACGTCCACGTCCACATCCACGTCCACGTCCACGTCCACGTCCACGTCCACGTCCACCTCCACGTCCACCGTCCACGTCCACGTCCACGTCCACGTCCACGTCCACGTCCACGTCCACGTCCACGTCCACCTCCACGTCCACGTCCACGTCCACGTCCACGTCCACCTCCACCTCCACGTCCACGTCCACGTCCACGTCCACGTCCACGTCCACCTCCACGTCCACCTCCACGTCCACCTCCATGTCCACGTCCACGTCCACGTCCACGTCCACGTCCACGTCCACGTCCACCTCCACGTCCACCTCCACGTCCACCTCCACGTCCACCTCCACGTCCACGTCCACGTCCACCTCCACGTCCACGTCCACGTTAGGTCCACGTCCACGTCCACGTCCACGTCCACGTCAACGTCCACGTCCACGTCAACGTCCACGTCCACGTCCACCTCCCACGTCCACCTCCACGTCCACCTCCACGTCCACCTCCACCTCCACCTCCACCTCCACGTCCACCTCCACGTCCACCTCCACCTCCACCTCCACGTCCACCTCCACGTCCACCTCCACGTCCACCTCCACGTCCACCTCCACGTCCACGTCTACGTCCACGTCCACGTCCACGTCCACGTCCACGTCCACCTCCACCTCCACGTCCACCTCCACGTCCACCTCCACGTCCACCTCCACGTCCACCTCCACGTCCATGTCCACGTCCACCTCGACGTCCACCTCCACGTCCACCTCCACGTCCACGTCCACCTCCACGTCCACGTCCACCTCCACGTCCACGTCCATGTCGACGTCCATGTCCACCTCCACGTCCACGTCGACGTCCACGTCCACGTCCATGTCCACGTCCACGTTATGTCCACGTCCACGTCCACGTCCACGTCCACGTCCACGTCCACGTCCACCTCCACGTCCACGTCCACCTCCACGTCCACGTCCACCTCCACGTCCACGTCCATGTCCACGTCCATGTCCACCTCCACGTCCACGTCCACGTCCACGTCCACGTCCATGTCCACGTCCACGTCCATGTCCATGTCCACCTCCACGTCCACGTCCACGTCCACGTCCACGTCCACGTCCAGGTCCACGTCCACGTCCATGTCCACGTCCACGTCCACGTCCACGTCCATGTCCAGGTCCACGTCCACGTCCATGTCCAGGTCCACGTCTACGTCCATGTCCACGTCCGTGTCCACGTCCGTGTCCACGTCCACGTCCACGTCCGTGTCCACGTCCACGTCCACTCCACGTCCACGTCCATGTCCACGTCCAAGTCCTCCACGTCCACGTCCACGTCCACGTCCACGTCCACGTCCATGTCCACGTCCACGTTCTCCACGTCCACGTCCACGTCCACGTCCACGTCCACGTCCACGTCCACGTCCTCCACGTCCACGTCCTCCACGTCCACGTCCACGTCCACGTCCACTCCACGTCCACGTCCATGTCCACGTCCAAGTCCTCCACGTCCACGTTTACGTCCATGTCCACGTCCAAGTTCTCCACGTCCACGTCCACGTCGACGTCCACGTCCTCCACGTCCACGTCCACGTCCTCCACGTCCACGTCCACGTCCACGTCCATGTCCACGTCCACGTCCACGTCCACGTCTACGTCCATGTCCACGTCCACGTCCACGTCCATGTCCACGTCCACGTCCATGTCCACGTCCACGTCCACGTCCACGTCCACGTCCACGTCCATGTCCACGTCCACGTCCATGTCCACGTCCACGTCCATGTCCACGTCCACGTCCACGTCCATGTCCACGTCCAAGTCCATGTCCACGTCCAAGTTCTCCACGTCCACGTCCACGTCCACGTCCACGTCCAGTCCACGTCCACGTCCACGTCCACGTCCACGTCCACGTCCAGGTCCACGTCCACGTTCACGTCCACGTCCACGTCCACGTCCACGTCCACGTCCACTCCACGTCCATGTCCACGTTCACGTCCACGTCCACATCCACGTCCACGTCCACTCCACGTCCACGTCCACGTCCCAGTCCACGTCCACGTCCACGTCCACGTCCACGTCCACGTCCATGTCCACGTCCATGTCCACGTCCATGTCCACGTCCACGTCCACGTCCAGGTCCAGGTCCACGTCCACGTCCACGTCCATGTCCACGACCTGGTCCACGTCCAGGTCCACGTCCACGTCCACGTCCACATCCATGTCCACGTCCACGTCCACGTCCACGTCCATGTCCACGTCCATGTCCACGTCGACGTCCATGTCCAAGACCACGTCCACGTCCACGACCACGTCCACGTCCACGTCCACGTCTAAGTCCTTGTCCATGTCCACGTCCACGTCCACGTCCACGTCCACGACCATGTCTTCGTCCACGTCCACGTCCACGTCGATGTCCACGTCCATGTCCACGTCCAAGTTCTCCACGTCCACGTCCACTTCCACGTCGACGTCCACGTACATGTCCACGTCCATGTCCACGTCCACGTCCACGTCCATGTCCACGTCTACGTCCATGTCCACGTCTACGTCCACGTCCACGTCAACGTCCATCTCCACGTCCAAGTCCTCCACGTCCACGTCCACGTCCATCTCCACGTCCACGTCCACGTCCACGTCCACGCCCACGTCCACGTCCACGTCCATGTCCACGTCCATGTCCACGTCCATGTCCACGTCCATGTCCACGTCCATGTCCATGTCCACGTCCATGTCCACGTCCATGTCCACGTCCATGTCTACGTCCACGTCCATGTCCACGTCAACGTCCACGTCCATGTCCACGTCCATGTCCACGTCCATGTTCACGTCCACGTCTTGTTCACGTCCACGTCCATGTCCATGTCCACGTCCACGTCCACGTCCACGTCCACGACGATGTCCACGTCCACGTCCATGTCCACGTCCACGTCCACGTCCACGTCTATGTCCATGTCCACGTCCACGTCCACGTCCACGTCCATGTCCATGTCCACGTCCACGTCCACGTCCACGTCCATGTCCACGTCCACGTCCATGTCCACGTCCACGTCCATGTCCACCTCCACGTCCACGTCCATGTCCAAGTCCAAGTCCTCCACGTCCACGTCCACGTCCATGTTCACGTCCATGTCCACGTCCAAGTTCTCCACGTCCACGTCCTTGTCCACGTCCACGTCCTCCACGTCAACGTCCACGTCCACGTCCATGGTCGAGGTCCACGGGGTCCACGGCCACGTCCTCGTCCACGTCCATCTCCACGTCCACGCCCACATCCACGTCCACGTCCACGTCCACGTCCACGTCCACGTCCATGTCCAGGTCCACGTCCACGTCCACGTCCACTCCACGTCCACGTCCACATCCACGTCCACGTCCACGTCCACGTCCACGTCCACGTCCACCTCCACGTCCACCGTCCACGTCCACGTCCACGTCCACGTCCACGTCCACGTCCACGTCCACGTCCACGTCCACCTCCACGTCCACGTCCACGTCCACGTCCACGTCCACCTCCACCTCCACGTCCACGTCCACGTCCACGTCCACGTCCACGTCCACCTCCACGTCCACCTCCACGTCCACCTCCATGTCCACGTCCACGTCCACGTCCACGTCCACGTCCACGTCCACGTCCACCTCCACGTCCACCTCCACGTCCACCTCCACGTCCACCTCCACGTCCACGTCCACGTCCACCTCCACGTCCACGTCCACGTTAGGTCCACGTCCACGTCCACGTCCACGTCCACGTCAACGTCCACGTCCACGTCAACGTCCACGTCCACGTCCACCTCCACCTCCACGTCCACCTCCACGTCCACCTCCACGTCCACCTCCACCTCCACCTCCACCTCCACGTCCACCTCCACGTCCACCTCCACCTCCACCTCCACGTCCACCTCCACGTCCACCTCCACGTCCACCTCCACGTCCACCTCCACGTCCACGTCTACGTCCACGTCCACGTCCACGTCCACGTCCACCTCCACCTCCACGTCCACCTCCACGTCCACCTCCACGTCCACCTCCACGTCCACCTCCACGTCCATGTCCACGTCCACCTCGACGTCCACCTCCACGTCCACCTCCACGTCCACGTCCACCTCCACGTCCACGTCCACCTCCACGTCCACGTCCATGTCGACGTCCATGTCCACCTCCACGTCCACGTCGACGTCCACGTCCACGTCCATGTCCACGTCCACGTTATGTCCACGTCCACGTCCACGTCCACGTCCACGTCCACGTCCACGTCCACCTCCACGTCCACGTCCACCTCCACGTCCACGTCCACCTCCACGTCCACGTCCATGTCCACGTCCATGTCCACCTCCACGTCCACGTCTACGTCCACGTCCACGTCCATGTCCACGTCCACGTCCATGTCCATGTCCACCTCCACGTCCACGTCCACGTCCACGTCCACGTCCACGTCCAGGTCCACGTCCACGTCCATGTCCACGTCCACGTCCACGTCCACGTCCATGTCCAGGTCCACGTCCACGTCCATGTCCAGGTCCACGTCTACGTCCATGTCCACGTCCGTGTCCACGTCCGTGTCCACGTCCACGTCCACGTCCGTGTCCACGTCCACGTCCACTCCACGTCCACGTCCATGTCCACGTCCAAGTCCTCCACGTCCACGTCCACGTCCACGTCCACGTCCACGTCCATGTCCACGTCCACGTTCTCCACGTCCACGTCCACGTCCACGTCCACGTCCACGTCCACGTCCTCCACGTCCACGTCCTCCACGTCCACGTCCACGTCCACGTCCACGTCCACGTCCACGTCCATGTCCACGTCCATGTCCACGTCCACGTCCACGTCCACGTCCACGTCCACGCCACGTCCACGTCCACGTCCACGTCCACGTCCACTTCCACGTCTATGTCTACGTCCACGTCCATGTCCACGTCCATCTCCACGTCCACGTCCACGTCCACGTCCACGTCCACGTCACGTCCACGTCCACGTCCACGTCACGTCCACGTCCACGTCCACGTCCACGTCCATGTCCACCTCCACGTCCACGTCCATGTCCAAGTCCAAGTCCTCCACGTCCACGTCCACGTCCATGTTCACGTCCATGTCCACGTCCAAGTTCTCCACGTCCACGTCCTTGTCCACGTCCACGTCCTCCACGTCCACGTCCACGTCTACGTCCATGGTCGAGGTCCACGGGGTCCACGGCCACGTCCTCGTCCACGTCCATCTCCACGTCCACGCCCACATCCACGTCCACGTCCACGTCCACGTCCACGTCCACGTCCATGTCCAGGTCCACGTCCACGTCCACTCCACGTCCACGTCCACGTCCACGTCCACGTCCACGTCCACGTCCACCTCCACGTCCACCGTCCACGTCCACGTCCACGTCCACGTCCACGTCCACGTCCACGTCCACCTCCACGTCCACCTCCACGTCCACGTCCACGTCCACGTCCACGTCCACGTCCACGTCCACGTCCACGCCACCTCCACGTCCACCTCCACGTCCACGTCCACGTCCACGTCCACGTCCACGTCCACGTCCACCTCCACGTCCACCTCCACGTCCACCTCCACGTCCACCTCCACGTCCACCTCCACGTCCACGTCCACGTCCACCTCCACGTCCACGTCCACGTTAGGTCCACGTCCACGTCCACGTCCACGTCAACGTCCACGTCCACGTCAACGTCCACGTCCACGTCCACCTCCACCTCCACGTCCACCTCCACGTCCACCTCCACGTCCACCTCCACCTCCACCTCCACCTCCACGTCCACCTCCACGTCCACCTCCACCTCCACCTCCACGTCCACCTCCACGTCCACCTCCACGTCCACCTCCACGTCCACCTCCACGTCCACGTCTACGTCCACGTCCACGTCCACGTCCACGTCCACGTCCACGTCCACGTCCACGTCCACGTCCACCTCCACGTCCACCTCCACGTCCACCTCCACGTCCACGTCCACGTCCACGTCCACGTCCACCTCCACGTCCACCTCCACGTCCACCTCCACGTCCACCTCCACGTCCACCTCCACGTCCACGTCCACGTCCACCTCCACGTCCACGTCCACGTTAGGTCCACGTCCACGTCCACGTCCACGTCCACGTCAACGTCCACGTCAACGTCCACGTCCACGTCCACCTCCACCTCCACGTCCACCTCCACGTCCACCTCCACGTCCACCTCCACCTCCACCTCCACCTCCACGTCCACCTCCACGTCCACCTCCACCTCCACCTCCACGTCCACCTCCACGTCCACCTCCACGTCCACCTCCACGTCCACGTCTACGTCCACGTCCACGTCCACGTCCACGTCCACCTCCACCTCCACGTCCACCTCCACGTCCACCTCCACGTCCACCTCCACGTCCATGTCCACGTCCACGTCCACCTCCACGTCCACCTCCACGTCCACCTCCACGTCCACGTCCACCTCCACGTCCACGTCCACCTCCACGTCCACGTCCATGTCGACGTCCATGTCCACCTCCACGTCCACGTCGACGTCCACGTCCACGTCCATGTCCACGTCCACGTTATGTCCACGTCCACGTCCACGTCCACGTCCACGTCCACCTCCACGTCCACGTCCACCTCCACGTCCACGTCCACCTCCACGTCCACGCCCACCTCCACGTCCACGTCCATGTCCATGTCCACGTCCACGTCCACGTCCACGTCCACGACGATGTCCACGTCCACGTCCATGTCCACGTCCACGTCCACGTCCACGTCTATGTCCATGTCCACGTCCACGTCCACGTCCATGTCCATGTCCACGTCCACGTCCACGTCCACGTCCATGTCCACGTCCACGTCCATGTCCACGTCCACGTCCATGTCCACCTCCACGTCCACGTCCATGTCCAAGTCCAAGTCCTCCACGTCCACGTCCACGTCCATGTTTACGTCCATGTCCACGTCCAAGTTCTCCACGTCCACGTCCTTGTCCACGTCCACGTCCTCCACGTCAACGTCCACGTCCACGTCCATGGTCGAGGTCCACGGGGTCCACGGCCACGTCCTCGTCCACGTCCATCTCCACGTCCACGCCCACATCCACGTCCACGTCCACGTCCACGTCCACGTCCACGTCCATGTCCAGGTCCACGTCCACGTCCACGTCCACTCCACGTCCACGTCCACATCCACGTCCACGTCCACGTCCACGTCCACGTCCACGTCCACCTCCACGTCCACCGTCCACGTCCACGTCCACGTCCACGTCCACGTCCACGTCCACCTCCACGTCCACCTCCACGTCCACGTCCACGTCCACGTCCACGTCCACGTCCACCTCCACCTCCACGTCCACGTCCACGTCCACGTCCACGTCCACGTCCACCTCCACGTCCACCTCCACGTCCACCTCCATGTCCACGTCCACGTCCACGTCCACGTCCACGTCCACGTCCACGTCCACCTCCACGTCCACCTCCACGTCCACCTCCACGTCCACCTCCACGTCCCTCCACGTCCACGTCCACCTCCACGTCCACGTCCACGTTAGGTCCACGTCCACGTCCACGTCCACGTCCACGTCAACGTCCACGTCAACGTCCACGTCCACGTCCACCTCCACCTCCACGTCCACCTCCACGTCCACCTCCACGTCCACCTCCACCTCCACCTCCACCTCCACGTCCACCTCCACGTCCACCTCCACCTCCACCTCCACGTCCACCTCCACGTCCACCTCCACGTCCACCTCCACGTCCACCTCCACGTCCACGTCCACGTCCACGTCCACGTCCACGTCCACGTCCACGTCCACCTCCACCTCCACGTCCACCTCCACGTCCACCTCCACGTCCACCTCCACGTCCACCTCCACGTCCATGTCCACGTCCACCTCGACGTCCACCTCCACGTCCACCTCCACGTCCACGTCCACCTCCACGTCCACGTCCACCTCCACGTCCACGTCCATGTCGACGTCCATGTCCACCTCCACGTCCACGTCGACGTCCACGTCCACGTCCATGTCCACGTCCACGTTATGTCCACGTCCACGTCCACGTCCACGTCCACGTCCACGTCCACGTCCACGTCCACCTCCACGTCCACGTCCACCTCCACGTCCACGTCCACCTCCACGTCCACGTCCATGTCCACGTCCATGTCCACCTCCACGTCCACGTCCACGTCCACGTCCACGTCCATGTCCACGTCCACGTCCATGTCCATGTCCACCTCCACGTCCACGTCCACGTCCACGTCCACGTCCACGTCCAGGTCCACGTCCACGTCCATGTCCACGTCCACGTCCACGTCCACGTCCATGTCCAGGTCCACGTCCACGTCTATGTCCAGGTCCACGTCTACGTCCATGTCCACGTCCGTGTCCACGTCCGTGTCCACGTCCACGTCCACGTTCGTGTCCACGTCCACGTCCACTCCACGTCCACGTCCATGTCCACGTCCAAGTCCTCCACGTCCACGTCCACGTCCACGTCCACGTCCACGTCCACGTCCATGTCCACGTCCACGTTCTCCACGTCCACGTCCACGTCCACGTCCACGTCCACGTCCACGTCCTCCACGTCCACGTCCACGTCCTCCACGTCCACGTCCACGTCCACGTCCACGTCCACGTCCACGTCCATGTCCACGTCCATGTCCACGTCCACGTCCACGTCCACGTCCACGTCCACGTCCACGCCACGTCCACGTCCACGTCCACGTCCACGTCCACTTCCACGTCTATGTCTACGTCCACGTCCATGTCCACGTCCATCTCCACGTCCACGTCCACGTCCACGTCCACGTCCACGTCACGTCCACGTCCACGTCCACGTCACGTCCACGTCCACGTCCACGTCCACGTCCATGTCCACCTCCACGTCCACGTCCATGTCCAAGTCCAAGTCCTCCACGTCCACGTCCACGTCCATGTTCACGTCCATGTCCACGTCCAAGTTCTCCACGTCCACGTCCTTGTCCACGTCCACGTCCTCCACGTCCACGTCCACGTCTACGTCCATGGTCGAGGTCCACGGGGTCCACGGCCACGTCCTCGTCCACGTCCATCTCCACGTCCACGCCCACATCCACGTCCACGTCCACGTCCACGTCCACGTCCACGTCCATGTCCAGGTCCACGTCCACGTCCACGTCCACTCCACGTCCACGTCCACGTCCACGTCCACGTCCACGTCCACGTCCACCTCCACGTCCACCGTCCACGTCCACGTCCACGTCCACGTCCACGTCCACGTCCACCTCCACGTCCACCTCCACGTCCACGTCCACGTCCACGTCCACGTCCACGTCCACGTCCACGTCCACGTCCACCTCCACGTCCACCTCCACGTCCACGTCCACGTCCACGTCCACGTCCACGTCCACGTCCACCGCCACGTCCACCTCCACGTCCACCTCCACGTCCACCTCCACGTCCACCTCCACGTCCACGTCCACGTCCACCTCCACGTCCACGTCCACGTTAGGTCCACGTCCACGTCCACGTCCACGTCAACGTCAACGTCCACGTCCACGTCAACGTCCACGTCCACGTCCACCTCCACCTCCACGTCCACCTCCACGTCCACCTCCACGTCCACCTCCACCTCCACCTCCACCTCCACGTCCACCTCCACGTCCACCTCCACCTCCACCTCCACGTCCACCTCCACGTCCACCTCCACGTCCACCTCCACGTCCACCTCCACGTCCACGTCTACGTCCACGTCCACGTCCACGTCCACGTCCACGTCCACGTCCACGTCCACGTCCACGTCCACCTCCACGTCCACCTCCACGTCCACCTCCACGTCCACGTCCACGTCCACGTCCACGTCCACCTCCACGTCCACCTCCACGTCCACCTCCACGTCCACCTCCACGTCCACCTCCACGTCCACGTCCACGTCCACCTCCACGTCCACGTCCACGTTAGGTCCACGTCCACGTCCACGTCCACGTCCACGTCAACGTCCACGTCAACGTCCACGTCCACGTCCCTCCACGTCCACCTCCACGTCCACCTCCACGTCCACCTCCACCTCCACCTCCACCTCCACGTCCACCTCCACGTCCACCTCCACCTCCACCTCCACGTCCACCTCCACGTCCACCTCCACGTCCACCTCCACGTCCACCTCCACGTCCACGTCTACGTCCACGTCCACGTCCACGTCCACGTCCACCTCCACGTCCACCTCCACGTCCACCTCCACGTCCACCTCCACGTCCATGTCCACGTCCACGTCCACCTCCACGTCCACCTCCACGTCCACCTCCACGTCCACGTCCACCTCCACGTCCACGTCCACCTCCACGTCCACGTCCATGTCGACGTCCATGTCCACCTCCACGTCCACGTCGACGTCCACGTCCACGTCCATGTCCACGTCCACGTTATGTCCACGTCCACGTCCACGTCCACGTCCACGTCCACCTCCACGTCCACGTCCACCTCCACGTCCACGTCCACCTCCACGTCCACGCCCACCTCCACGTCCACGTCCATGTCCACGTCCATGTCCACCTCCACGTCCACGTCCACGTCCACGTCCACGTCCATGTCCACGTCCACGTCCATGTCCATGTCCACCTCCACGTCCACGTCCACGTCCACGTCCACGTCAAGGTCCACGTCCACGTCCATGTCCACGTCCACGTCCACGTCCACGTCCATGTCCAGGTCCACGTCCACGTCCATGTCCAGGTCCACGTCTACGTCCATGTCCACGTCCGTGTCCACGTCCGTGTCCACGTCCATGTCCACGTCCATGTCCACGTCCACGTCCACTCCACGTCCACGTCCATGTCCACGTCCAAGTCCTCCACGTCCACGTCCACGTCCACGTCCACGTCCACGTTCACGTCCATGTCCACGTCCACGTTCTCCACGTCCACGTCCACGTCCACGTCCACGTCCACGTCCACGTCCACGTCCTCCACGTCCACGTCCACGTCCTCCACGTCCACGTCCACGTCCACGTCCACGTCCATGTCCACGTCCACGTCCACGTCCATGTCCACGTCCATGTCCACGTCCACGTCCACGTCCACGTCCACGTCCACGCCACATCCACGTCCACGTCCACGTCCACGTCCACTTCCACGTCTACGTCTACGTCCACGTCCATGTCCACGTCCATCTCCACGTCCACGTCCACGTCCACGTCCACGTCCACGTCCACGTCATGTCCACGTCCACGTCCACGTCACGTCCACGTCCACGTCCACGTCCATGTCCACGACCATGTCCACGTCCACGTCCACGTCCACGTCCACGTCCATGTCCACGTCCACGTCCACGTCCACGACCACGTCCACGTCCATGACCACGTCCATGTCCACGTCCACGACCACGTCCACGTCCACGTCCACGTCCACGTCCATGTCCATGTTCATGTCCATGTCCACGACCACGTCCACGTCCACGTCCACGTCCACGTCCATGTCCACGTCCACGTCCACGTCCACCTCCATGTCCACGCCCACGTCCATGTCTACGTCCACGTCCACGTCCATGTCCACGTCCAAGTCCTCCACGTCCATGTCCACGTCCACGTTCACGTCCATGTCCACGTCCAAGTTTTCCACGTCCACGTCCACGTCCACTTCCACGTCCATGTCCACGTCCATGTCCATGTACACGTCCAACTCCTCCACGTCCACGTCCACGTCCATGTCCATGTCCACGTCAACGTACACGTCCATGTCTACGTCCATGTCCACGTCCACGTCCACGTCCACGTCTACGTCCACGTCCATGTCCACGTCCACGTCCACGTCCACGTCCATGTCCACATCCAAGTCCTCCACGTCCATGTCCACGTCCACGTTCACGTCCATGTCCACGTCCAAGTTTTCCACGTCCACGTCCACGTCCACTTCCACGTCCTTGTCCACGTCCACGTTCATGTACACGTCCAACTCCTCCACGTCCACGTCCACGTCCACGTCCATGTCCACGTCAACGTACACGTCCACGTCTACGTCCATGTCCACGTCGACGTCCACGTCCACGTCCACGTCCACGTCCACGTCCACGTCCACGTCCAGTCCACGTCCACGTCCACGTCTACGTCCACGTCCACCTCCACGTCCACGTCCACGTCCACGTCCATGTCCATGTCCTCGTCCACGTCTACATCTACGTCCATGTCCACGTCCACGTCCACGTCCACGTCCACTTCCATGTCCACGTCCATGTCCACGTCCATGTCCATGTCCATGTCCACGTCCATGTCCACGTCCATGTCCACGTCCACGTCCACGTCCACGTCCATGTCCACGTCCATGTCCACGTCCACGTCCACGTCCAAGTCCTCCACGTCCACGTCCATGTCCACGTCCACGTCCACGTCCATGTCCACGTCCACGTCCTTGTCCACGTCCACGTCCACGTACACGTCCACGTCCTTGTCCACGTCCACCTCCACGTACACGTCCACGTCTACGTCCCCGTCCACGTCCACGTCCATGTCCATGTCCACGTCCACGACCATGTCTACGTCCATATCCATGTCCACGTCCACGTCCGCGTCCACAACCACGTCCACGTCCACGTCCATGTCCATGTCCACATCCATGTCCGCGTCCACGACCATGTCCACGTCCACGTCATCGTCAACGTCCACCTCCACGTCCACGTCCATGTCCACGTCCACGTCCACGTCCACGTCCATGTCCACGTCCACGTCCACGTCTATGTTCCTCCACGTCCACGTCCACGACCAGGTCCACGTCCATGTCCACGTCCACGTCCACGTCTATGTCCATGTCTACGTCCACGTTCACGTCCAGGACCATGTCTTCGTCCACGTCCACGTCCACGTCCACGTCCAATTCCACGTCCAGGTCCACATCCACGTCCACGTCCATGTCCACGTCCACGTCCACGTCCACGTCCACGACCACGTCCACGTTCACGTCCACGTCCACGTCTACGTCCATGTCCACGTCCTCGTCCACGTCCATGTCCACGTCCACGTCCATGTCCACGTCCATGTCCACGTCAACGTCCATGTCCACGTCCAAGTCCATATCCACGTCCATGTCCATATCCATGTCCACGTCCACGTCCGCGACTACGTCCATGTCATTTGCACTCTAAGTTCCCATACTGACCGACCTGGCCAATGCACCATTTTCCATATACATATGCATTAGATTCCTTTTGAACCTTATTAGCTCACTAGATTTATATATTTCCCACCTTCTGATCGAGTGAGACCGCTAGATTCCCTTTACTTTTTGAGAAATGAGCGTTTCCGTTCTCCTTGGCCCTAGTTGCACTATAAGTGCGAAATGCCGGCCAGAGTGGCCGACGCACAATTTTCTCTACACATGTTCGTTAGTTACCTTTCAAACCCTTATGTTCACTAGATGAATATATTTCCTACTTTCTATTTGGGTGATGCCACTTGATTCCGTGTACTATGCGAGATCTGAGCGCTCCCGTTCTCCCTGGCATTTGCATTTTAAGTTCCGATACTGACTGACCTGGCCAATACACCATTTTCTCTATACCTGTGCGGTGAATATATTTCAAACCTTTTTAGCTGACTAGATTTATATATTTCCCACCTTCTGATCGGGTGAGACCGTTATATTCCCTCTACTTTTTGAGAAACGAGCGTTTCTGTTCTCCCTGGCCCCACCTGCACTATGAGTGCGAAATGCCGGCCAGACTGGCCGATGCACCATTTTCTCTACACATGTGGGTTAGTTACCTTTCAGACCCTTACGTTCACTAGATGAATATATTTCCTACCTTATATTTGAGTAAGACCACTAGATTCCGTGTATTATGCGAGATCTATGCGGTTCTGTTCTCCCACGCATTTGCACTCTAAGTTCCCATACTGACCGACCTGGCCAATGCACCACTTTCCATATACATATGCATTAGATTCTTTCCGAACCTTATTAGCTCACTAGATTTATATATTTCCCACCTTCTGATCGAGTGAGACCGCTAGATTCCCTTTACTTTTTGAGAAATGAGCGTTTCCGTTCTCCTTGGCCCTACTTGCACTATAAGTGCGAAATGCCGGCTAGACTGGCCGATGCACCATTTTCTCTACTCATGTGCGTTAGTTACCTTTCAAACCCTTACGTTCACTAGATGAATATATTTCCTACCTTCTATTTGAGTGAGACCACTAGATTCCGTGTACTATGCGAGATCTTAGCGCTTCCGTTCTCCCTGGCATTTGCACTCTAAGTTCCCATACTGACCGACCTGGCCAATGCACCATTTTCCATATACATATGCATTAGATTCCTTTCAAACCTTATTAGCTCACTAGATTTATATGTTTCCCACCTTTTGATCGAGTGAGACCGCTAGATTCCCTCTACTTTTTGAGAAATGAGCGTTTCCGTTCTCCTTGGCCCTAGTTGCACTATAAGTGCGAAATGCCGGCCAGACTGGCCGATGTACAATTTTCTCTACACATGTGCGTTAGTTACCTTTCAAACCCTTACGTTCACTAGATGAATATATTTTCTCCTTTCTATTTGACTAAGACCACTTGATTCCGTGTACTATGCGAGATCTGAGCGCTTCCGTTCTCCCTGGCATTTGCATTTTAAGTTCCGATACTGACCGACCTGGCCAATGCACCATTTTCTCTATACCTGTGCGATGAATACATTTCAAACCTTTTTAGCTGACTAGATTTATATATTTCCCACCTTCAGATTGAGTGAGTCTGTTAGATTCCCTCTACTTTTTGAGAAACGAGCATTTTCATTCTCCCTGGCCCCACCTGAACTATAAGTGCGAAATGCTGGCCAGATTGGCTGATGCACCATTTTCTCTACACATGTGCGTTAGTTACATTTCAACCCCTTACGTTCACTAGATGAATTTATTTCCTACCTTTTCTATTTGAGTGAGACCACTAGATTCCGTGTACTATGCCAGATCTGAGCGCTTCCGTTCTCCCTGGCATTTGCACTCTAAGTTCCCATACAGACCGACCTGGCCAATGCACCACTTTCCATATAGATATGCATTAGATTCCTTTCGAACCTTATTAGCTCACTAGATATTTATATTTCCCACCTTCTGATCGAGTGAGACCGCTAGATTCCCTTTACTTTTTGAGAAATGAGCGTTTCCGTTCTCCTTGGCCCTACTTGCACTATGAGTGCGAAATGCCGGCCAGACTAGCCGATGCACCATTTTCTCTACACATGTGCGTTAGTTACCTTTCAAACCATTACGTTCACTAGATGAATTTATTTCCTACCTTCTATTTGAGAAAGACCACTAGATTCCGTGTACTATGCGAGATCTGAGCGCTTCCGTTCTCCCTGGCATTTGCACTCTAAGTTCCCATACTGACCGACCTGGCCAATGCACCACTTTCCATATACATATGCATTAGATTCCTTTCGAACCTTATTAGCTCACTAGATTTATATATTTCCCACCTTCTGATCGAGTGAGACCGCTAGATTCCCTTTACTTTTTGAGAAATGAGCGTTTCCGTTCTCCTTGGCCCTACTTGCACTATAAGTGCGAAATGCCGGCCAGACTGGCCGATGCACCATTTTCTCTACACAGGTGCGTTAGTTACCTTTCAAACCCTTACGTTCACTAGATGAATTTATTTCCTACCTTCTATTTGAGTGAGACCACTAGATTCCGTGTACTATGCGAGATCTGAGCGCTTCCGTTCTCCCTGGCATTTGCACTCTAAGTTCCCATACTGACCGACCTGGCCAATGCACCATTTTCCATATACATATGGATTAGATTCCTTTCGAACCTTATTAGCTCACTAGATTTATATATTTCCCACCTTCTGATCGAGTGAGATCGCTAGATTCCCTTTACTTTCTGAGAAATGAGCGTTTCCGTTGTCCTTGGCCCTACTTGCACTATAAGTGCGAAATGCCGGCCAGACTGGCCGATGCACAATTTTCTCTACACATGTGCGTTAATTACCTTTCAAACCCTTACGTTGACTAGATGAATATATTTCCTACTTTCTATTTGAGTGAGACCACTTGATTCCGTGTACTATGCGAGATCTGAGCGCTTCCATTCTCCCTGGCATTTGCACTCTAAGTTCCGATACTGACCGATCTGGCCAATGCACCATTTTCTCTATACATGTGCGTTGAATACATTTCAAACCTTTTTAGCTGACTAGATTTATATATTTCCCACCTTCTGATCGAGTGAGACCGTTAGATTCCTTCTACTTTTTTAGAAATGAGCGTTTCCGTTCTACCTGGCCCATCCTGCACTATGAGTGCGAAATGCCGGCCAGACTGGCCGATGCACCATTTTCTCTACACATGTGCATTAGTTACCTTTCAACCCTTACGTTCACTAGATGAATATATTTCCTACCTTATATTTGAGTGAGACCACTAGATTCCGTGTATTATGCGAGATCTGAGCGGTTCCGTTCTCCCAGGCATTTGCACTCTAAGTTCCCATACTGACTGACCTGGCCAATGCACCACTTTCCATATACATATGCATTAGATTCCTTCCGAACCTTATTAGCTCACTAGATTTATATATTTCCCACCTTCTGATCGAGTGAGACCGCTAGATTCCCTTTACTTTTTGAGAAATGAGCGTTTCCGTTCTCCTTGGCCCTACTTGCACTATAAGTGCGAAATGCCGGCCAGACTGGCCGATGCACAATTTTCTCTACACATGTGCGTTAGATACCTTTCAAACCCTTACGTTCACTAGATGAATATATTTCCTACCTTATATTTGAGTGAGACCACTAGATTCCGTGTATTATGCAAGATCTGAGCGGTTCTGTTCTCCCAGGCATTTGCACTGTAAGTTCCCATACTGACCGACCTGGCCAATGCACCACTTTCCATATACATATGCATTAGATTCCTTTTCGAACCTTATTAGCTCACTATATTTATATATTTCCCACCTTCTGATCGAGTGAGACCGCTAGATTCCCTTTACTTTTTGAGAAATGAGCGTTTCCGTTCTCCTTGGCCCTACTTGCACTATAAGTGCGAAATGCCGGCCAGACTGGCCGATGCACCATTTTCTCTACACATGTGCGTTAGTTACCTTTCAAACCCGTACGTTCTCTAGATGAATTTATTTCCTACCTTCTATTTGAGTGAGACCACTAGATTCCGTGTACTATGCGAGATCTGAGCGCTTCCGTTCTCCCTGGCATTTGCACTCTAAGTTCCCATACTGACCGACCTGGCCAATGCACCATTTTCCATATACATATGCATTAGATTCCTTTCAAACCTTATTAGCTCACTAGATTTATATATTTCCCACCTTCTGATTGAGTGAGATCGCTAGATTCCCTTTACTTTCTGAGAAATGAGCGTTTCCGTTCTCCTTGGCCCTACTTGCACTATAAGTGCGAAATGCCGGCCAGACTGGCCGATGCACCATTTTCTCTACACATGTGCGTTAGTTTCCTTTCAAACCCTTACGTTCACTAGATGAATTTATTTCCTACCTTCTATTTGAGTGAGACCACTAGATTCCGTGTGTCAGAGGTCCACCGGTGATCCCCGATCGATCCTAGGGAAGGGTTACAGGCACGTTTGCCTGGGGGGTTATGGGCGCACTGACCCGCTACTGAAACAAGCCCTTTTATCCCAATGGTCTAGTGGTTGGGATTCTGAGATGGTATCAGAGCGAAGGTCTCGGGTTCGAATCCCGGTGTATGCACTTCGGGCATCCCAGTGCGGGGGGGTGTCAGAGGTCCACTGGTGATCCCCGATCGATCCTAGGGAAGGGTTACAGGCACGTTTGCCTGGGGGGTTATGGGCGCACTGACCCGCTACTGAAACAAGCCCTTTTATCCCAATGGTCTAGTGGTTGGAATTCTGAGACCGTGTACTATGCGAGATCTGAGCGCTTCCGTTCTCCCTGGCATTTGCACTCTAAGTTCCCATACTGACCGACCTGGCCAATGCACCATTTTCCATATACATATGCATTAGATTCCTTTCAAACCTTATTAGCTCACTAGATTTATATATTTCCCACCTTCTGATCGAGTGAGATCGCTAGATTCCCTTTACTTTCTGAGAAATGAGCGTTTCCGTTCTCCTTGGCCCTAGTT